AACACAAGAAGGGGGAAGAGGTAAAAGATAGGGGTACACTGAGACAGGTTTGCATGGGCTAAATGGGGCAGAGATAAATAGTGATGCATTCTCAACCTTGGAACAACAGGGCTCTGTGATACAGGGATCAAGGTATAGTCTGAAGAGGGGAAATAATACTAAAATGCTTGACTGTCTTATGAATATTGGTTTCCCTTGCCTACTATTGTAAAATAGACACTTGAGTGGGATAGAAAAGAATCTTGGGAAACATAAATACTGAAAGCTTATAAGCCCGTCTTCAACCTATAACTGATTGGAATACCTAAAAGGGGTTTTAGAACTTGCCCAGTGAAATAGGCTTCTTGCAGAGCATTTGTGGTGTATAGGACCTTAGGTGGAATACTGAGCCCCATTCAGAACCTTCTGAGGTGGGACTTTCCCACCAGAAAGGACAAGCAGAATTTATATACCATCTAAAGAACAGATGTGATACATTAGAAAATAATAACCATCTGAGGTGGGACATTCCCACCAGAAAGGATGAGCAGACCAGCCAAGAACAGCTACAGTGACAGAAGATACATCTTCAAATAAAGATCACCAGGAAAAACTCAGAACAAAAATAGCAGTATGATTGGCTACTACAAGAATAAGCAAGTTGTTCACCAGGAAGCCATCAAGGCAAGCAATCAAGTTCCCTTAAGACAAACTCCCCTCTAAGACGAAAACTTAAAGGGAACACATCAGCAGACAAGTAAGCAGCTGACAACCACACTGGTCTACTGGTGAGTGGGAGAGGAGGAGAGGTAGCAATGAAGAAATGGACTGAGTTATGTTAAAAATATAGTCAATGTCCTTACCTTTGAGGTTGTCATTTTTATCTTTTTCAGACAAGAATTTTTCTATTGATCTGTTGATATTTAAATTAGGCTGGACCTTAAATCCATAGTACATCAGAAGTCAAATAATTTTACTGTCCCATAGAGAAGCATATGACTGTTGAGTGAGCTCATTAGAAAGTGTACTAATATGGCATTTAAAGGACAGGCAGTCATATTATTGTCTTATTTCTAAGTTTTTGATAACTTTTCTATACAAAGAATATCTTCAGACTGAAAAATACATCTTGATTGCATGTTTGATCAATTTCAGACTACAGAAGTTTGCAGAATTCTTCAATGTTACCATCACTGGCTGGTATGTAAATGTGAATAATAGTGGTATTACTTAGTTTTCCCTAAAGGCATAAGGATATTATCCTGTCATAGACAGCATTCAAGACAAATCATGATGTGTTCTTTTAGATGATGAAAGTGACTCCATTCCTGTTCAATTTTTCATTCTCAGCATTGTAAACCATGTGATTTTCAGGTTCAAAATAGTCAATATCAGTCCGTTGCAACTCACTAATGGATAGGATATTGATGCTTATGTGTTCTATTTCATTTTTGACAATTTGAAATTTTCATAGATTTATACTTTGGACATTCCATATTCCAACTACTAATGGATATTTACAGCAGTTTCTCTTTATTTTGAACTGTGCCCTATCAGCAAATGAAGGTCCTGAATGCTTTACTCCATTCATGTCATCACGAGTAGGCAGCTCTTCCTCAGTCATTTCTGAGTGCCTTCCAACCTTAGGAGCTCATTTTTCAGCACTATATCTGACAATATTCTGATGTTCATCATATTTCAGTATTCAGTATTCTGATGCTGACAGTGTTCCACTCCTATTCATAAGGTTTTCATTGTCTAAGTATTCCAAAGTAGTCTGTCTCTTCTTCTTCCTAGGCTGGCTTCATTTGGAAACTCAGCTGAAACCTGTCCACCACAGGTGACCCTGCTGGTATTTGAAACACCCGTGGCATAGCTTTCAGAATAACAGCAACATATAAGCCACCACAGTACAACAAACTGACAGACAAGTGGTAGATTTGAGGACACAAATCATCTAGAGTGTCCAGCCTGTCACCTGATCTACAGATTTTAGAAGTATCATCCCCCCCCCCATAATCAACATAAGACAGCATATGATTAAGAGCCAATGATACTGAAAGAAGAAGCCCAAGATACACTGATGACATTAGCAAAGACCAATGCTCTGGGAATTAATGGAACACAAATTGAAATCTTTCAACAAACTGATGCAGCATTAGAGGAACTCACTCATCTATACCAAGAAATTTGAAAGAGAGCTACCTGGCCAAGAGATAGGAAAATATCCATATTTGTGCCCATTCCTATGAGAGGTGACCCAACAGAATGCTGAAATTATGGAAAATATCATTAATGTCACATGCAAATAAAATTTTACTAAAGATAATTCAAAAACAGTTGCAAAGGTACATTGACAGGAAACTTCCAGAGAATGTTGGAATGAGGGAATCTCAGCTGAAAGCAGAGATTACTAGAAAGACGTTTACCTGTGCTTTATTGATTACCCTAGGGCTTTTGATTGTATGACTTTTGACAAGCTATGAACAACATTATAGAGAATGAGTATTCTAGAACACTTAATTGTCTCATTAGAAACCTACACATAGACAAATAGGCAGTCATGTGAACAGAATAAGGGGAAAGGTATGTGCCAGAGTTGTATTCTTTCACCATACTTATTCAATCTGTACACTGAGCAATTAATTCCATAAACTGGATTATATTAAGAAGAGCATGTCATCAGGATGAGAGGAAGACTTATTAACAACCTATGCAGATAATAAAACCTTGCTTGCTGAAAGCAAAGAGAACTTAAAATACTTACTGATGAAGATCAAAGATCACGTCTTTGGTATGTGTTGTACCTCAGTGTAAAGAAAACAAAGAATCGCCACGACCTAACCAGTAAACAATAGCCATATAAATGGAGAAAAGATTGAAGTGGTCAAAGACTTCATTTAGCTCAGATCAACCATCAACACTCATGGAAGCAGCAGTCAAAAAATCAAATGATATATTGCATTAGGTAAATCTGCTGCACAAGAACTCTTTAAAGTGTTTATGAGCAAAGATGTCAGTTTGAGGACTGAAGTGCACCTGACTGAAGCCATGGTATTTTCAATAGCTTCATATGCATGTGAAAGTTGGACAATGAATAAAGAAGACCGCAGAAAAACTGATACATTTAGACACCAGAGATGGAGGCAGAGATGGGGACATGGAGAGAGGGAGCTCAGAACTCTAGAATTCATTGAAAGAGTGGTACTGAGAGCTGTCAGCCAGGAGGCAGACTTGCAGAATGTGCCCTTTGGTGGTGTAAATTATTATATATGCCTGGGTGTTTAGGGAAAAAAGAGCTAAAATAGAGAGAAATACTGCTAACTGATGGTACTTGGAGGGGGATTATGATCATTGTAATAAAACAAGGTGTATGATTTGTTGAATGTAAAATTGATGATCTGCCCTGTAAACTTTCATTCAATTCACAATGAAAACTTTCAAAACAAAAGCTGATTGCCGCACTGAAGGCACTTGCTCTGCTTTACTAAATTTGGAAAGCAAACGAATTGGAAGAGATCCATATTTGAGACCATGTCAAAGAGAAGTGATCCAACAGAATGGGACAATTATCAAAAAATATTATTAATATGACATGAAAGTAAAATTTGGCTGAAGATAATTCAAAAATGGCTGCAGCAATACATCAACAAGGAACTGCCAAAAATTCAAGGTGGATTCAGAAGAGGATATGGAATGAGGGAAATCATTAGAGACATTAGATGGATCTTAACTGAAAGCAGAGAATACAAAAAAGATATTTACTTGTGCTTCAAAGATTATGCAAAGGATTCCTTTTACAAAAATCTTTTATTGTGAATGGAATGCAGTTTTAAAGGCAAGATCATAAGTTTTACATTCAACAAATTATTTTTAAAAATTGATACATTTGAGTTATGATGTTGGAGGAGAAGATAAAAAGTACTATGGACTCCCAGGACAAATCAATCTTTGTCTGAAGAAGTACAGCCAGAATGTTGCTTAGAAGTCAGGACAGTGATACTACGTCTCTCTTACTTCATACATACTATCAGGAAGGACCAGTCCCAAGAGAAGGACATCATGCTTGGTAAAGTGGAGGGAAAGCGAAAAAGAGGAAGACCTTAATGAGATGGATCAGCACAGCAATAGCAGCAATGGGCTCAAGCATAGCAACAATTGTGAGGTTAGCCAGGACCAGGCAGAGTTTCATTCTGTTGTTCCTAAGGTTGCTATGAGTCAGTACCAACTCGAGTACACCTAACAATAACTACAACAGTCTTGTAGAACTCTATTTTTTGTTAAATTAATTATGTTTATCTTATGCTTGTTTTATATCACAGTGGTGCTGGTATGCCATGGAGTCAGTTCCAACTCATAGTGACCCTGCATAGTTTCTGAGACTATAAACCTTTACAGGACCAGAAAGCCTCCTCCTTCTCCTGCAGAATAGCTGGTAGTTTCAAACTGCTGACCTTGAGGTGACAAGACTTATTAACAACCTCATAGCCACTATGTTACCAGAGCTCCTTCTTTTAGATAGTAGCAGAAAAAATTTTTTATTGTAAATATGTGGATCATCTCACAGAAAACTGAGGAACACATATGAATAAAATGGAAGCAGAAAAAATATCTGAGATCCTACTGCCAAGACAGTCTCCTAACATGTCACTGTTGGCATTATTGCCAGCCCAGCTCAATGGACTGTAACTACCAGTAGACATCTGCTGCCTTCCCTCATAGTTTACTGGAATTCTAACACATACCACAGCATATTAATCCCAAATCTCCCCTTCAATCCACCCTGTATTTTGCATAATTCTTTCTGGAGTTCTGGGTAGGGGACTCAATTGACCAAGCCCAGGATGTTTTGAAGAAAAGTGCATCTACCTAAATTTCAGAGGATATTTTGGGATAATAGTTTGATTATAAATAGTCAATATTTAGAAAGCAGTTTTCCTCAATTCTTGTTTTGATTTGTGAAAGGTTTCGTATAAATGTAGTGCAATCATATCTTCATTAATTCTTCGGTAAAATCTTACCTGGTCCAAGGCCATCATGACCAATGACAACTTTGTACAAATCTCCAAGGTGCACAGCTTCCAGGGAGAAAGTATCAGTCTACAACCAATTAAAATAGTCTAATTAGATCAAGGATATTAGCTCCGATTTCTACCAAAAGTAGAAAATTATAGCCATCTACAAACAAGAAAGTGAGGCACAAATTTAGAATTAGAGTTCAACTCTCCTAATAAGCAGTACAACTTGTGGTGTAGTGAATTATTTAATGTCGCTTGCTCTAACTCCCACCAAATGCCTCTTTGCCTGATGGGTTTGGGTAAGAGAAGATGGGAGAAGATACTTTTAGGATTACATGATTCAGTTGTGGACATTAACAGAGTTCATTGTAATTATAAAAACTTGAAATCCTAGCACAGGCATAAAATGAGCTGTCTGGGTGATATGAGTGGACTGGGCATTTCTTTGCTTGACTAATCAAGCTCACCTCTGTTTAACCTTCAGTTCTTTGGACTTGAGGCAGTGGTCTGACCTGATTCACCAGTTTCCACTGTCTTGTGAATCAAACAGCCCAATTCCCCATGACTGAGAAGAATCCTCCAGACTGTCTGACCTGCAGATTTAGAATTTGCCAGCCTCCACATCATATGAGCCATTTAATTATGTCCCAAGAGTGTGTGAGAGGTTGCAGTGAACTGAGAAGTCCTGGGGTATGGGGGAAACTACTGAAGGGAGGACTAGTGGTTCATATCATATTATGGATAGTATAGCAGTAGGAAAGTCAGATCTTTTGGTATGTCTTTAATCTCCACTTCATAGTAACCAGCCTTGTGCTGATCTTTTGGAAAAGAAATTATTGTTCAGTTGGTGTTAGAATGGTGGGGCTGACTGCAATGGCCCTGACTCACTAGATAATGTGGTTTTGACGAAAAGGATATGAACAAGAGAGTGGCTTGGGGATGAGACAAAAAAAACAACAACAAGAAATCCTGGTTTTAAAGGAGCCTTTATATTGCAATCGCTTACCCAAATCAAAAGCTATTCTTATGATATAAAATTTGTAGATGTGGCTTTAACTCTTGATGAATTAGCTAGTGAGATATATGTAGAAATGCAGATTGACAAAGAGACAAACATACAATCCCTTGGTTTTTGCTATTAGTAATAACTGCAATGACAAGGAAAAAGAATGTAGAGGCTGATTGTAACACTGAACCAAACCCAGATTTGGTTCAATCAGAACTAAGACTGCTTGTCTCAGACCCCACTGGTGGTGGTGGTGGTTGTGTGCATATGATCAATTTCAACTCACAGGGACCCTGCATAGAGTTGCCAAGGCTGTAAATCTTTATGAAAGCAGAAAGCTTCATCTTTCTCCCATGGAGCGACTGGTAGATCTGAACTACTAACCTTGCAGTTAGTAGCTCAGCTCATAATCCAGTATCCTACCAGGGCTACATCAGACCCCTGATGTACTTGTTGCTGTTGTTAAGTGCTGTTGAGTCAGTTCTGACTCATCGTGACCCTGTATAGAGTTTCCAAGGAGCAGCTGGTGAGTTTAAACTGCCAACCTTGCTGTTCAAACCGGCCTTGGGGTCCAGTGCTTACTACACCAGAACACCAGATCCCACTAGGGAATGAAAATTTTGGTTAGAACAACAGGAATTACCTGTATGACTACTGGTCACCAAAAAGGTAGTTCCAGAGGAGAATGGGCAGAACTATTGAAACTAGGGGTTATACTGTAAAAGAGTTGCTTCAGTTTGTAGATAGGTATGGTCAGCTTCCTTAGGAACCATTACTAAAAAGGATTGTAAGAGTGACTAATTTTGGAGCAGTGACTTTGCTTTTGAATACTGAAGAGTGAAAGAATATATTGGGTTGATGCAAGACCCACAACTCACTATGGAACAGCCATGAATGGTAATACTAAATTTATTTACATGGAAAGTTAACCCAGAGGGGACTTTAGCTTAGTGGAGTAGATCAAATTTCCAATAAGATGTTTACCCTGAGAAGGTAAATTGTTCTACCCAACACTAACTATTCATTGTAACACTCCAAGGGACGTAGCTGATGGGCTGTGTATGGAAGCAATGTTCAAGCAGCTTTATGGTAATAAAGACATACATCCAGTGAGTATGCCCCTTATACAGATCATGGCAGATATGATAATCAAGGGACCCCTTTTATGTGGGCACCCCCACATAACCTTAATACTGTGAAACAAAGCAACAATCCGAGAAGCTATTCGGATATATTGACACAGCTTCCCCTCATGACATTTAAAGATACAAGAAATATGAGGGTAGTTCATAGCAGAAGAGGAAGAAGCAATTAGGAAAGAACTTACTCCAGCAGGATATTTTTAATGGAAATGAGATGAATATAGCAGACATTTATGGAGTTGTTACTAAAGTTCTAACACAGCACTACAGGAGGTTGGGTGGACCAAAGGGAATTTCTGCTAGTCCTCTAATGTTAAAGTGCCCTAGACAAGTTCATTCTATTCACCTTGTCAGGACAAATTTAATGATGGGGATTCCCTATCAAATGGTGGGACCATTTGAAGCAGAGACTCAGTTAGTTGATCAAGATAAAGACTGACAAGAGGGACAGCAGGGAAACTGAGGCCATAAGAACATGTGTGGGTAAAATGGTTAGTGGGTAGGAGAGAGCCCTTCTTTCTCTAGACTCCTGCTGATAAAATATTGAAGGGACAAAAGGTCCTGGTGTGGCACTATGGGATAAGCACTGGATTGCTAACCACAGGTAAATGGCTCAAACCCACCAGCTGCTCCTTGGAAACCCTATACAGAGTCACTGTGAATCAAAACTGACTCAATGTCACACAACAAAAACAAGGTGAGACTTAGGGCATAAGGGGATTCAATGGTTGATGGGACTAAGGTGAAGGTTTGAATGAAAAACTGGAAAATTTAAACAGATCTTGCATGAAGTAGTTGCATCTCCATTACCTGCATGTATTATTGGTACAGATCTCATGTCTAATATGGGAACACTCTCTACCTGGTATTGTAAAATTGGAGTTTAAGGCTGCCCTTTAGCCTGTATTGATTGGGCATGCTAAGTGGGAACCATTAGAATTGCCTGAACCCAATCAGATTGCTAAATTGAAACAGTAGAGGTTACCTGGTGGACCAGAGGTGATACTACTTTAATTAAAGACATGCTAAAGGTTGGAGTGTTGGTGCCAACAAATTCTTTGTTTAACAGTCCTGTGTGGCCTGTGAAAATGGCAAATGACTCTGCCAATGAAAGAATTGACAGTAGATTAGCAAGCTCTAAACCCCCAAATAAAGTAGTGCCACTTTTGCCTTCAGCTATTCCAGACATGGTATTGATGATGCAGGATAAAGCACTGGACCACAAGGCCAGATTGAACTGCAAGGTTGGCAGTTTAAACTCACCAGCCACTCCTTAGAAACTCTATTCAGGGTCACTATGAGTTAGAACCAACTCTTGGTCTGAGTTACAGAAAGTGATCTTATTTCCCTTGCCTTTGGAACCTTATGATCTCATTTCAGACATAATTTTGGACATGTCTGCCATATGTACAAAAGCTGAACAGAAAATTTCAAAGGTCAGCTCAAAAAGACAAAGTCAAATATTACAATGAAATGTGCAAAGATCTTAAGTCAGAAAACCAAAAGGGAATAACACGTTCAGCATTTCTCAAACTGGGAGAACTGAAGAAAACAATCAAGCTTTGCCTTTAATTATTGAAGGATTCCTTGGGGAAATTATTGAATGACATAGAAAGCATCAAAAGAAGATGGAGGGAGTACAAACAAGATGGTGGAAGTATACTCAGGAGCTCCGTCAGCAACAACACAGAATACCAGACCAAGCAGGCTCAGGGAATGGCCTCAGAACTCTGAACCACATATAAAGGACTATTTAGAAATTTGGAAGGCTTGCAGCTAGGGGAATTTGTAGCAGAAGCAAGAAATCCATTGCTTTCTAATTCAAGATGCTCAGTTGCTCCCAGAGCCACCATCTTGTGTGAGACCAAGACAAGGAAAGATCCGAGCATTCACAGACACCTGACAGAACTGCAGAGATAAAGTTGTGGGTATTTTCTTTTTTGTATCTGTTCATTGGTCCCTTACTGTCTCTGCACCTCCATTCAGGTGACTAGAGGGGGTGCCTGAGTGAATGGACACCCGACCCACACCCCCGGAGGGTTCTAATACACATGCTCACAGATCTCGAAATTTGAAGTGACAGTTTCCACTTAAAACCAAATGGCAGTGCAAAACAGCCACAGCCGGCTCTGAAGTGTTTATCACTAGGAAAAAAGACCTGAACAGGAATTGTGGAGCAGGACAAGCAGACTAAAAAGGAAATAAGCCAAAAATTAAATCCTGAGTTACGTCACAACGACCAACAGTAGCATCTTGAAAATTACTCAGGAAGAAGAATGAAAAGGGAAGCCCATCTCCTGAACACATCTACTTGGAGGCAATCAGAAACCATAAAAAATACCAAAATATACACACCCATCTAAGTATTAAGGCCACAGATAACTCCTGAATATGCACAAAAAAACAGAAACAGATGATCATATCAGCACATGTACAGAAACGAGATAAAGTGACTGAGGGCTAATGAGCTAGAAGTAGACCTACACTCCATACTGGAAGATGGGCAGGGTTTGGAAATGTCTGAGAAGGAATTCAGAAAAATGATTATAAAATGTATCAAAACAATATACAATGGAATGGCAGCTAGAGAGGAGGTGCAGTGAAGTTCGCTGTCAGCCATACCACAGAACACCAGGCAAAGCAGATCCAGGGCAGAGCTCCAAAACTTAGAACCACATAGCAAGGAATATTTTTAAAGCTTGAAGGCTTATAGCTAGTGGAACTTGAGGCTGAAGTAAGAAATAGCATAATCTTGAATCTGTGGAGCTCAGAGGTCCAGAGCTAAAATCTTTGGCAAACAGCAAGACCAAGCAAGGGAGCAGAAACACCACCGAAAAATGTCACGGAAACCTTGGAGCAAAGGTGGACAATACACTTTGTCAGTTTTCCTTTGTTCTGATTTTTAGTGTGTGTGTGTCTCTGGTCACTGGTCCC